GCATTTTTTAGATTTTTCGTTGTTCAGATCTTTATTTAGACGAGAGTATTTAGAAAGATAAGTTTGTGGTCCAAAGAATAAGGACGAGATATGTTATAAATAATAAGGGTCTTGAAGTGTGGTAGGCTACAGAGTTGAAAAAACATTTCTAGAGAATATCTTTATTAGATCTTTCATTGAATTTTACCAGAACCTTCGTTCAGTCCAGCAGTATTTTCCATATGTTTTTCGTAACGTCTTTATTTAATCTATCCTAAAATGTTTGTTATATAGCGCAAGAATGTAGATGAGAACGGGAAATTGAAAAGCATACTAACAAAAAAAATTTTATGGTGCCTATCTATAACTATCGCATTCAGCATTCCATATTTATTGCTTGAATTTGGAAAAGTGTACGTTTTATCAGCTATTCCACCCAGAGACCATACCGGTGACTTTTATTATATATGGTAATAATATTATAATAAATAAACTCTACAATTATCTTATACTCTTGAAACTGTGCATTCGTCTGATTATCTCGAAACTTAGTTTTTTAAAGGTTTCACTTCTAACACGTGTGATCTGCACACATGATTTTTTTTTTTTAATTTCATACACGTTTATAATATTACAGAAATATTATCAAGCATCTATACGTTCAGTTTATAATATTCAATATTTACAAAATATTACATTATATTTTCGAATATATTCAATCAGTTCATTAATTGTATTAAACGAAGGTTTATGTTGCATTAGATTATACAATTGAATATATTCAGTCAGTCCATTAATTGCATTAAACAAAACTGCATGTTGCATTAGATTATACAATTGAAGAATCCTGGATTTTGATCGCTTAAATCGTATTATATGTTGAAACAGATATAACAGTAAAATATACGTACTTAAAATCCTTTCTCTGATTAACATTAGGGATATCAAAAATTTAGAAATTTAGAAATTTACATAGCACAATGCTACGAGTCTTTCTTCGACGAGTCAAAAAGGAACACATTTAATTTAAATTCAACTTTCAAAATAATTCTTGCATTTTTTCTGGTATTTTTTTTCTATTTTTAAAAAAATTGATAAAAATTTTACGTTCACTTTTGAAAGGATAAAAGAAATTCGAGAATGAACAGGAAGCAGTTTTTTTTGTTTCGTATGAATAGAAAGAAAATTGAGACGTAGATAACGGAGAGCGATTACTATTAAAAGCGTGCATACAAGATGTTTCGATAATAGCTCCAGACGATATTCTTAAAAGTAAAACCAAGAAAAATATTCTTTCTTTTATCGTGATCTGATAGTGTAAGTATTAGTACATGAGAATGATTTGTGTTCGGTGTGTGCGGCGCTGCGTGCTTATGGCGTACGTGACCAAAAGCAGAATGATCATACGATCAATTGTCATTCGAAAAGATGCGAAGTGGGGATTCGAAAGAAAGGAAAAATTAAGAAGAATAACGCTCCAAAAAAATGACGAAAGATGGGAATAACGCGTATCATATACAGGGTGGGTCAGCACATTTTACCATCTAAATTTACGTTATTATTATTACGTGTAGCAGACAATGTTTCACATGGAATTGAATGGCTTTGAAAGGGGTTCATACTGATGGTACTTTTTTTTTTGTAGATGGACGTGTAAAGGGCATATGAAGGTCATTAATGTTTTCTTAAACGGAATCATATATTTTTTATTGCATCATCTGATGCTCTTTCATATTAATTACAAAAAAGTAATAATCTATTTATGTAAAAAAATTATTACTTAAGGAGATATTTTAATTTGTATGTCTATTTACAAAAAAGGTTCTATGTGGCGACCATTTACATCAGAACACTTTCTGAATCGAGAAATTAATGGCTCATTAACGTTTCTTAATGTATCTGATGTTATTTTCTTGCATTCATTGACGATACGATCCCTCATATCGGCCATTGTAGTCGGAGTCTCAGCGTAAACTTTATTTTTTAAGTAGCCCTATAAGAAAAAGTCAAGGGGCGTTAGATCTGGTGATCTAGCCGGAAAATGAATGAGCCCACCCCGTCCTATCCAATGATTTGGGAAGTGTTAGCCGCAGTTACGATAAATCCATCCGTTAGCTCTCGCGAAATCAAAAGACAAGCTGGAATTAGCCACAAAAACATTTTACGCATATTGATAAAGCACCATTTTTATAGAGCAGTTAATTTCCTACAAAAATTTGTATTGTGCACTTCTTAATAGTCATTTATTGTCGAGTTATAAAATTCATAAACAAAAATGAAATTTGTCTTAAAATAATCAAACTTAAATCTTCAATATCATTCAAATGGTGAGGTTTACGGAAAAAATATAAGATACTTTTTTTGTAGAGCATTAAATTTCCTACAAAATTCTTTCAGAACATTTTTCTGTACAATCAATTAATAATGAGGTATGAATTTTATTCTATTGGACTGAGAAAAAAATAAAAAACTGCTATGTGGAGGATCATCCTATTAAAATTAAGAGCTCATATTTGGTGAAAATTTTTTTAAGGTGTCTAGCAACCCATTTTTCCGTGGCACTTGTAAAAAAAAAAAATAATTGATTTTTTTGACTCACCCTAATGTACATGTATATGTATATGTATGATCTCTCATTATATCTGTACCAGATCCTTTGTTCAGTCCAGCAGTATTTTCCATGTTTTTCGTAACATCTTTATTTCGTCATTCCTAAAATGTTTTGTTAGACAGCGTAAAAATATAGATGAAAACGAGAAATTGAAAACCATGCTAACAAATAAAATTTTATACTTGAGTTTCAAAAAAAGGATATTCTATATTTATTTAGTTTACAACGCATTATATTTTCCTCGATAAACATCCTACGATTTTGGTGTCTATCTATGACTATCGCATTTAATATTCCATTTTCATTGCTTGAATTTGGAAAAGTTAATTTTTTATCACCTATTCCACCCAGAGACCATATCGGTGCCCTTCGATATATATGGTATTAATATTATAATAAATAAATTCTACAATTAACTTAGTCTTGAAACTGTGCATTCGTCTGATTCTCTGGAAACTTAATTTTTTGAAGGTTTCACTTCTAACACGTGTGATCTGCACACATGATATTTTTTATTGTTAATATTTTTTAATAACTCGTTTTATAACTGTAAATAATATAAAAAAATATAAAAAATTATTTTAAATAAATTTCTGTACACATTAGTTGTTCTTTCACAAAGCAGTCGTTTTGACTGCTTTGGGTAATATAGGTATATATAAAGTCTCGGTCATTCAAGTATTAGCCCTTTCCCGTACTTTAGCGAGTCTGACTCGCGATGAGATACTTGGACCAAACATGAATATTGCGATTCAGACTCGCGACCAGATACTTAGGCCAAATGTAAACATAACAAGGCCGTTACGGTCATGTTTGAATGTTAATACCTTATGACAATTAGTCACGATTCTTATCGTTGCTGTTACGAACCATTTCAATTATTAAAATTTAAGAAATCCCTTCAAAATGCAAGATACAAAAGTGTTAAATGAAGGCATTGATAACAAATCCTCTAATAGTGACGCGATTATGCCAGTCGCAAAGCGTATAAGGCGTATGATTATAGATGAAAGTAGTAAAGAGGAAAGTACGACACAGCAATTATGGATTTGGTAAAAAGTAAAAAACACGCAAATAGTTTGGAAGTATTCTGAACATCATGGAATAAAAGCGTCTGTCTTGAATAATTTAAGCGACAATCCAAGATTACTAGATCTATTCTTTATTACATTTGATAACAAGTTTTGGAAAATTCTGATTACGGAAACAAATCGCTTTGCAGATGAGACAATACACGACGAGCGTAAAAAACGGTATGTGGACGACACTTGTTATCCTGTCACTTTAGACGAAATCAAGGCCTATTATGCACTATGTATTTTGATGGATCAAGTAAAAAAATCAAATATTCAACTTTATTGGATGTTTGTCGCAGGGAAATGACCTATAAAATTTTTTCGAAGTAGTCACCAGTGTACTTAGGATATAAACAAACAAACAATTTCTCTAAACAAAGTTTAATAATTTAGGTGACATAAATCTCAAAAAAAAAAATTCCTGTAAATCTAACATTTTTTTTAATCATTTCTATAGTTTTATCATTTCCCTAATCTCATCATCCAAAATATAGTGATAAGATTTTTAAAAATCTTTCAAAAACCTTTTTAGAAATCATTTGCAAGTTTCTAAACGCGGACTTTTCCACCTTGTAGAAATATTTTTTAGAAATCTCTTTGAAAGACTTAAAGCTTTCCAAGAAATGTTTAAGAAAATTTTTAGAAAGTTTTAATGTTATGTGGGGAAATAGGAATGCGCGAAATGTAAAGTGGCTTTAGGAAAGTACTAGAATGTTTTAAGAAGTATCATACCACGGAGGATTTGTAGAGTTGTACATATTTTCTTTTTAGATATTCATTCAGTTTTATGATTAATTTTTTTTAAAATAATATGCTATTTACTTTTAGGCGTAGTATTATTACACTTCTGAGAGGACCAAACTACATTTGAAGACGCTTCTTGACATATTGTTTATTCATGCAATGCAATTTTGAAACAATATGTAAACAATGATTACAATAAGAAATGATATGATCAAAACAGAAAGGATTAATAATTAGATTAAATTACTATATTGTATTTTGGATATAAAATAATAAAATCTTTTTTTATTACAGAGAAACAGTTCATGTGTTAGTAATACAAAAGAAAACCTCTATCAATTTCTAAAACATCTTATAAAACAACATTCAATGTTGTTATTCACACTGTTGTTTCTCAGTTACCTTTACAATTTCGTTTTAGATTCTCAATTAATTCTACCTGTGCACTTTGTGACTTATATCAGCTTACATCACGGAGCTTAGATAGAAGGAGCATTTTCACTCGTACCATTGAGTAAATTTTTAAAATGTTCAGCAGCCACCCTGTTTCTCTTGTAAACCCACAATAAATGATTGAATCTATTTGTTTGATTTATTCATTTTAACTTTCGATGTTTGCTAAGCTTTAGCGATTCCTTCGTTTCCATCAATGATTCTAAGAGCTCTATTGAGGTAACATTTGATCCTTTTGGTGGCGTAACCAACGAATAAGAGCACAGTAACCTAAGTACTTGCCCAAAAATTATGGGATCTGAGTGTTCATTGCATCCACAAGCATTTCTGATAATTCTAAAGAACAGCTATAATAGATCGCAAACATAATAATTGTTAACATCAATTCCAATGTTACTGTATCATCAAAGATTACATAAATTTGATTATAAATACTTACTTCCAACTTATCTTGATTGAGACAAGCAGTCATCAAATAATCAAAATTGCTTTTTTCGTGTAAAAAATTCAATAAATCGATTGTTCCTCTTAAAGTTATTTTGAATCCTGTTAAAGTGCTTTTAGTAATTGCAAGATAGTTATTTCCAGGGTTATCATCATAATCTATCTTTTGCATTTTCTTCAATTTAGAACCTCTTCAGCTTCAAAGCTTTAAATTCATTTTCTGATATCCTTCTGGGTTTATATGTTGCGTTATTAATTTATAGGATATTTTTAAGTTGGATCTAAATTGAAGTTCATGTTGATATAAAACCTCCCAATGACTTTTTTTGACCATTCTATCTGGAGTCTGAAAATAATTTAATACTGTAATGATAATCACCTTAATTGACAAAACCATTGAACTCCATTGTTTTAGTATTTCATTTTACCGCTTCACTTAGAAGAAATTTCATCAATTAATAAAGTACCTGCAGAAATAATAAAAAGAAAAAAATAAATATAGAAACTTTGAAGACAATTAAATCAGTTACTCAAAATGGAATGACTATTCTACAGTATTTAAGACAGCAAAAAAAGCATTTTTAGCCTATGATAAATGGTTGAGTTAAAATGTAATAGATTTTAATATTATGTGATTGTGTTCATTTGATTAGTTTTTTAAAACAACTATTCTCAGCAATGACAAGCTAAATATTATTATCTCTGTTGCAATATAATTGTGTATTAATGGGTTTTTAGAATCTAAATTTAAACATATTGTTGCTTAATGTTAGTGAAGCTGTAATTTTTGTTTGCTGATTTTGAAAATACCTTTATTTTATTAATGGAGTAAAAAATAGTAATATTATTTAACATTTTATTTTTAGTTACCAATCAAAAAAGATAATTAGTACAGCCAAAGTTTATTTGGATTGTCATAAAATAAATTATATCCCTTTTGGCCCAACTTTCCATTCGTGATGCTTTCAAACGAAGAGTATCAAATATTGCTTTGGGAAAACCAAATGCGCTGTCTAGTTTATTAATATATCTGTTCAATGTGTCTTTGCAAGGTAATGGTAATATTTGATGTTCGCGTAATTTATCATAGAGCGCAGGACCTTCAATTCGAATCATGACATTCATATACCGACTCAATAGTACGACGACGTAAACATTTTCGTTTCGTATGAAGTTTACATCTTCTTTCTTTTTCTTTGAAGATATTAATAACCTCTTCCGTAATGTACGACAAACCGAACACATATATTCTCTTTTCAATCGTTTATATTTTTTATCGGATAGTAAAATGCCTTGACATGCGGTTGAGCATCTATTAAAAAAATAGTAAAACATTAAAGCTTAATATATTAATTTTCAGTTGTATCTTAAAACTTGTATTTGACAAAAATGACGAGTATAAGATAAGTTAATGAAGAATTTATATAATCGTCAATGTACTTCCAAAATAGCTACAAAGCTTCATACAAGAAATATCAAAAGTTATTACAAGAGATGGATTTTTAAATTTTCCTTCATTTTTTGATTATTTTACGCAACAAATTTTCTCCAGCTAAGACGATTTAAAGAATGACCAAGGTTGTTTTGTAACAAGTAGTAATTTTCTTGGAGCAAAAAAAAGTTTGTTGATTCAAGAAAATTGATATTCAAAATATGTTTCGTTTTTTAAAATATTTTCATCAGTCAAGAATTTTTTGTTTTTTCGTACGACAAGTATATACCTGTCTTTTATAAGAATTTAATGTACTGGAAAATATTTATTTTAAAAATAAAAAAAAGTAATAGAAACAAACCTTCCGTTAACTCCAGCACCGCTACAGAACTGACAAGTTTCTATTTCTCGTAGCATATTCCAAAATGATGCTACCGATATTATTGAATAATTCAAATTAATAGGAACTTTCGTTGCCAAGATAGTTACCTATAAAAAAAAAATAATTTAAATAGCGACAAATGAAATCATAGCTTGTGGTCAAGCACGCACTTATAGTTAACTTGAAATACCTGAACGGTCAAATCATCACCAATTTTAATTGATAATTTTGTTTTGGCCAACACCAATTGTAGGACACTCCTTGTCGCTTACATTTCTTGTTTCGTGCAAATACTCATTATCAGTACAGTGATTGTTGGTACGAAAATGATTTGATGAAGTTGTATCACCATTCGTGACAACATTTGCCATTGCCATTGCCATTGCAACATTGGAATTGCACCCTTTTTTAAAGCAACTGTAAACCTTGAAAGTTCAAAGAATTTGCCATTTTGCAACTTTGTTTTTTCAAAGTTTTTAAGAATATCGTCACTGTTAAAATGCAACTCGCAGATCAAATTTTTGTGACAAGGTTGTTGAGATATTGCTGATCTCCATAGTTGCAACATTTCGGGGTCCTAGTTTGCATAAAACAATAACAAATATTGTAATTATTAATTAATGTATATATCACCGTTGAAATTTATTGACCACATCGATATAATTCAATTATTTACATTGAAATTGATATTGTACTATTCGTAATATTAAACTGCTAAAAAATTTAATTTTTGTTAGACAAATAATTTTTGTTTAACTGATAATATATTGTTCATAGGCTACCTTAAATATCATATGTAATTACTTTACTTTTTTATAAACTTTGTAATAAGCATTGTTTATTCATATACATTTTATTTTATATTATTTATTTCATATGGCAATTTTATATACGTCAATTTTCAAATACTCGCCAAGTGTATATTAAGATAATATACTACAGTCATTATATAGAAAGAACATTAAATGAAGATCAATTGAATTATATTTTGTAATCAATTTTATTTATTAGGAATAATTTAAAGTTACTGATATATGTAAGGTTATCTTACCTTTGGTACTTTAAATAAAGCTGTTTGTCATTGATTTAACTCCGATTTTAATTTCCTTTCAATTAAAGAGCCATTAAAACACTTTTTCATAGCACACTTTTTTACCATTTTCAACAATACTATTTTTATTTCTTAAAAAACGTAAAAATGTTAAACATCGTTAAAAAATATTTACCGACATGTATGTTTACGAATACGTAATGCTCAACGGTTTTTTGTGATGTCGCTAGAATCGAGGTGATCATCATGCCCGCCCTAGTGGCAGAAAAAAGTATTGGTGTTCGGTAACTTTTTTAGAGGACACAATTTATGATAAATTGCCTATATCGAGCGTGCCTCTTCTATCTAACAATAAGCTCCGTGGCATACATTGCTATCGACACACCCCGTATCGATTCATCCGATTGTCTTTGATACAGTAGGAAGTCTACTTACCAACCTGATTTACGCACTAAATACAATTAGGCTAAGGATACTTTCCTTACATAATTTAGAAACTTAAAAGGTCTCTTATATATATATATATATATATATATATATATATATATATATATATATATATACACTTCAGCATACGTCTCCCGACATAGAGATAATATTGATAGAGGAGGCAAACCATAGGCGGCTATGTAAGTAGAAATGTCTCTGCATAAACTACAGCGAAAAACGAAAGGTTGATGTTGTCTCTCTCTAACTCATGCGGTACCGGTGCATGCGGATTAGACTTGTCGTGCCACATATTCATAGAGATTCTATGCACATTTTACGGTTATGGCGTGTAGGGGTAAGGAGTAACATCTCTTATGGGAAAAAATGTGAAAATGTGTCCAGCGTTTTCTATAAATAATAGTTCAAAAACCTTCCAGAATGGCGCTAGTGAACTTAGAAGTATGGTATGAATGTAGCAATTGTAAACGAATTAGTAAATATAACCTTAAAGAATTATTATGAGAAAACAACGTGTAGCTAGAGTGATTTTATTTCGTGAACTGTGAATAGTACGTTTATTGATTTTTTATCATTTAATTTTATGAAAAAGTATGTGAATAAGAAAACAGTTGTGAGTAAAATTTGTGTTGTGAAATTTGTGCTCCTTGTTTATTTCTCAATTCTACTCTAATAATATTTGGCGCTTTCTTTAAAATTTACTCTCTAGGTACTGTGGTACCACCATAATTGAATGCATTCCGACGGACACTTTTCATATACAGAGATGTTACTCCTTACCTCTACCCTCCATAGTTTCGGTGTAATCGGTCTTATCGTAAAAGCTCGTTAGATGTTTGTTATTGTTAGATGTTTGTAATTATAAAATTATTACAGTAGTACGAATTAAAATAGAAATAATAATTTGTGAATCAATTTGCTACTGTAATGTAAATGTGATGTAATGTGAGTGNACAGTATTCTCTAATTCTTTTTCTCTGATGTATCTTGTAATCACTCTTTTTTGTAAAATATTGCAGACAATACAATGATTATATTCTATATATTTTATAATTATTAATTATAATATTTGCAAGATAAAGAATTTATTACTAATTTTTCAATAAAATAGAAAAATTTTTAAATAGAAAATATATGACACGTTTGGTAAAAAAAAACTATAGACAGGAATATTATCGCACCGATAATAAAGATTATGAATATATATCGAATTTCAATGGACCTTCCCTGCTTTTTAGAATTTTGTTCTCATGAAAGACAACCGACCTTGGGGTGTAGATAGCTGAAAAAAACTAACATTTTCAAAATTCTATCCATCAATATAGAATGTCGAATTCGATAGTCATAAATAGAAACAAAAATTATAGAATGTTTGTCGACAGAAAGATACGCCGTCCTAATCTAAGTAAATAAGGAGATATAATATTTTTTTTTTGAAACTATGGTAGATGAATTTTTTCTTTTACATTTTTCACATTTTTTGGGAATTTGAGATATCTTTATAATGGGTTTACACACATAAGTATTTTTTTTTTTGTAGCAACTAATACCTTAAGATGCTGTAAAAAGAAGGGAACAATTGTTGTCGTATTTTTTTCGTTTCATCGGGTTTTGAATTACAACGATTTTAAAATCTATTTCTATTTTTGTTGTTTTATTTCAAAATATTAAAAATTCTTTTTTAAATTTATTTTTTATATTTTTTTTCCATATTTGTAAAATAAGTTATATTATTTTATTCTTATTGGAAATATAAAGTAATTAAGGTTTATTTGTTTTTGTCACGTGTCTAGTTTCTTCTATTTAAAAACTTTTCTATTTTATTAAAAATTATTATAAATTTTCTAAATACACAAAATTATAATTAAAAAACATGTCTTTGGATATTTATAAGAAAAATATTCTACAATGTTGTTTAATTTTTTTGCTCTGATGTATCTGATAATCATTTCATTTTTTTGTAAAATATTGCAGACAATACAATTATTATATTCTATATATTTCATAATTGTTAATTATAATATTTGCGAAATAAGTAAATAATTTAATAATATTAATTTTTCAATAAAATAGAAACATTTTTAAATAGAAAAGAAATACCACGTTTGGTAAAATAAAAACAGACCACGCACCTTCTTTCTTTATTTCGACCGTTGGTTCGTTTAGTCCTTATACTTTTGTCGCATACCTACGTGCTTATCTCTGTTTATTCCTTCTACCCTTCTATCGCTCCTACCTACAAACANCCGTTGGTTCGTTTAGTCCTTATACTTTTGTCGCATACCTACGTGCTTATCTCTGTTTATTCCTTCTACCCTTCTATCGCTCCTACCTACAAACATTTCGAGTATCGAAAGAATACGTGTCCACGCTTTGTAGTATGCAGTCGCGCAGTCGCAGACAAACACACACATATTTAACCAGGAGCGATAACTACGAAGCATATCATAAAGAGTAGACCGAGAATAGGAAAAACTGTATAGCTATATTCCGTCTCATTCTCTTGCAGGCTAAATCTTATATGTTTGTCTCTTTTTCTTTCATTATTTAGTATAGCAGCCGTTTCATAGTTTTTTAGTATAGCAGCCGTTTCATAGTTTCGTTTCACAGCTCCGTTTCCGTTTATTTACTTTTTAGATCACTCCCATTCTAAAGAAGTTTTCACTTAAAAAAAAAAAGGTCATCAAGTTTTTAAAATTGGATCGTACAGGCAGAATTTTGGATCGTACAAGGCTTCAAATTATCGTACGCGTACGATAATTAAGCCGTTTATTTTGAAAGTGGCCTAAGTCCATTTTCCAAAAAAATCGAGTTAGTTAACGGTTACTATTACTATTACAGTAGTAATAGTTACATTTTTACATGATCTTTTTATTCTGAAGCAATTTGTTACAAAAATAAGTAAAATCATGAAGATTTTGTTGCAAGAAAATTTGACGATTAACGGAATGATGAAAAATTTATTTTGAAAGTGGCCTAAGTCCGTTTTTTAGTTTTTTCCGGTTGTCATGGTTACGTGTACAACTTTATGTTATTTATCAGTATAATGTAGAAATCATAGATCACAAATTTTTAATATCAGGACATTCGTTTTTACCAAATGATAGAGATTTTGGCGTGGTAGAAATGTCATTGAAAAAAATAATTTACTATTCGTTCCCCAAGATTATTACAAGATTATACAAAAGTGTCGGAAAGGTAATAATTTTATTGTAAATGAAATGAGACAAGAAGATTTTGTATTAACAAAATTATTAGAAGATGCAATTTTTAAAAGAGTAAAAAATTCTAATGGAGAATCAATAAACTGGCTAAAAATATGTTGGATGCGTTTTGTCANAGTGTCGTAGTGAATGAAGACAGTGATGAAGACTAATATAGTTACATCTTTTATTATAATTTTTATTTTTGTTGCATAAGATTTAGAATAATATCTAACCGTATAAAGAATATATAAGTACTATTTTTAAATGTATTTTCAATAATCAATAACCCTTCTAATTACGTTAGACGGAATATATCTTAATTGTTTTATAATAATCTTTATGTTTATTTCTGGCAAAGTGTATTTTGAGTAAAAATATAATTTTTCACATTTTTTTTTTAACTGAAAAAAAATATAAATTAGTTAAAACTTGAGATTTTAGAAAAAAATGAGTTTTTAATTTTTTTCATATTGTTCCACCACTTCAAAAAATTCAAGAAAATTCCTGAGTGTAGAGAAGTATAAAAGACATTTTCTGAAAAATTTTGGTGACTGACATATTTCAAAAAAGCTAAAAAAATTTAATTTTCTTTCGTCCGTCAAAAATCGGCTTTTCGTTAAAATATTATGATCATATTTTTTTTTCATGTCTTAGACTCCTAAGAACTAGAAAAAAATCATTATTGATTAGTTTTGAATTTTACTATAAAAAAAAAGAAAATCGAAAAAACAGTTTTTTTTTGAAAATCTCGAGAACCGTTTGAGTAAAAGAGCTRAAATTYRRGGTGAATTATTTTTATTCGACACCAAATCGATCCCCCAAGTGCGAGTCAAAAAAGCCACGGGGGCAGATTTCCCATACTTATCCGGTTATACCCTTTATTTGCATAACGGAACTTTGTTTTTTTTAAACAACGGAATATCGTTTCCCTCCAATTTCCGAGTGAAGTTTCCTTGCACCAAGATCGATGGCGTATTCAAACAGGAAATAAAATAAATGAAGAACCAAATATTAATCTTATCGTCTAAGATAGAGTTTTTAAACAAGAAATAAAATAAAGAAAGAACTACATATGAATCTTATCGCCTACAATATTGACACTTTGATTGTGTTCTTTTTATCGTCAATTTTTGTGTGGTAAGTATAATTTGGGTGCGACAAGTAAACTTTTCGGACTCAAATTGACATTTATTTTACTCAAAACACGTGTTGTTATTGTAAAGTAGGTAAACAGTGACCGAACTTCCGACCCCAATAGCGATCGAAAAGATAGTACTTTCCCCGCATGAGTACCTAATAAAAAATATATTTCATTTTTCTTTTAAATAACATATCAAAAATACGGTATTCCTGTATTTTCTAGTATTTTTGAGTTTGCTCCAAAAATTTTACTAACTAGAAATGAGTAGAGCCAGAGAGGCCTTGGAAATTGTCTCAGGTAGTTGACCTTGAGCTAAGGGTAGCGCACAATCGTACGTACCCAACGAAATGATTTTCTCTTCTCCTGGGTGAATGCCGTGCAATAGGCATGTGACCTCATTTCTTTCTATATACTTTTTCAAGATTATGTTATGAATCGTGTATTAGTTATGCAATCTATTCTATTCAGTATCATACATTAAAAATTATGATTGAAAATGATCTATTTACAGATAGTAGCAATACAAGACCGGGAATGGATTCGACACAAGTTGTATCCGCATCTGTTCAGTTTGAAGAGGACGAAGCGAGTGGTGGGCAGGAGACAAGTGTTCATAAGGAAGTAACTGATGACGAGGAATCGAGTGGCGATAAAGAAGCAAGTAGCGATGAGGGCATAAATAATGAGAAACTTGGTGATACAATTTGCATTTTTTGCGATAAAAACCGTAAAATTCGTAAATATCGTGTCGTAAAAAAACATGCGTGTGTTATTGAAAAACTGCGAAATGATATTTTTACGATTGTAAATGCTTGTATGGACAATGAAATGGAGAGAAAATTGGAAGCTACACCTGTAAATAGTACAGTTTATTATCATAATCGTTGCAAAAAATTATATCTTTCTAAAGCTATCCAACCAACAACTCCTAAAAGCAGTATGGAGAAAAGAAAACAATTTCATAGATTAGCGTACGCGGATATTTGTGACTTGGTTGAGAAAAGAATTATAAAAAACAAAGAATGCTGCTTATTACAGCTTATCACAGATTTTTACAATGAAATTCTTGAGAAATTTTATGTTCAAGAATTTAAATGTTACAATGTGAAATATACCAGTCAACATCTTTTAGAAAAGCTAACAGCAACTTTTGGCAAAAAAATTCAAGTCATTATCATGAAAAAAAAAAGGTTAATTGCTCCTACCGATGGCTGCGTTATTACTGACGAAACTTTTTCAAATTTATATGATACTGAAATAATATCTCGCGCTGCATTGACGTTAAGAAAGAAAATTTTGTTATTAAAAAAAAGAACACTTTCATGTGATTTAAAAGTCACCGATATTATCGAAGGGGAATGTGAAATCCCAAAAGATCTGACGGATTTCATGCGTCATCTCTTATGTGGCATTGACTCAAGATCAAGAAAAAGCTATGCCAATTTGCGTAAAGTAGATTCTTTTTCCCAAGATTTAATTTACGCGATACACCACGGAAAAATCAAAACATCTAAACATATGACTTTAGGAATTACACTTAAAAGTATAACAAGTAGTCGTAAAGTCCTTGATCTTCTAAATAAGTACGGTCATTGCTGTAGTTACAAAATCATTAAAAAACTTGAGACAGAAGTTACTGCTACTACATGTAGTGTATCCAATATTTCTCCCGAAAATGCGATACTAGCTCCAAAACGTTGTACAGGAGTTGCATATGATAATTATGACCGTTTTGTTGAGACGTCGAGCGGTCAAGACACGTTGCACGATACAGTCGGTATTTTTTATCCAAATATTGAAGATACTGACATCATTAACCTGGATCAAAGACGCGATAGTACAAACAATTCGGAACAACCTGCTGCCAAAAGAAGAAGAAGTTTAGATCCGATTTATGACTTTGTTTGGTTCAAAGGTCAACAATTACCATCTTCAATAGAGGATATTATTATGGAAAACGATAATTCAAAAGGTAAATTTTGATCGATGACTCTTTATTAAGTATATAATTATTTTCATTTATTTAATCACGTACTTTTTTCAGCTGAAGAAGACGAAGAGGACAAATATGATAGCGATGAAGATCCAGAATATGATGATGATGAGATGGATGAGAATAATCAGGACGATGAGGATGACGAGGAGGAAGAGGATGATAAAGATATCGAAACCGATTGATTATTATTAATGATTTATTAAGCACGATAAAATTTTTTTTTAATTGTCTTTGCTACAAATATATTTAGGTTTTTTACATTTTTTTACACAAATTTGTATTTAATTGATCAACTTATGAATTTGTAATTATATTATACTTGACCTTTTTAACTGTTTTTAATAAAGATAATAAAATTCATGTAAAATTCTGTTAAAATTTAAATTAAAAGTTAAGTAAATGTATGAATTCTTCACAATTGACTTCTGACATTTTAATAGTACGTTCTTTGTACCTCTATAAATATGCAGGTAAATCGTTAGAAGTGGCATGAGTCATGTACGGGGTGAAAACTGGAGCAGCCCCTTAGCCGGCGCGCCGCGCCACACCGCGTTTTGCACCATCATAATTTGCACCCCAATTTCTCACGAATGCCTCCACGTTTTCATCTGACATTATGCACATAGTTTTCTCTATATATAAAAAAGACATACGCAAGTTGTCAGATATTTCCTTCCATCTATAAATTTTCAAAAATTTTTTGCAACTTTTCCAGATTCTGACACCCCTTTGTCATCAACTTAAACGTCTGACATTTTTCCCCATGCTTTCTCTCATTTTTTTGGATATCTACGTAAATTTCAACCATTTCTCTAGTCATTTATTTTATTACCAAAATTAACAATTTTGGCAGCCCGCCCCTCCCCTTTAATCTTCCTGACCGTCTTCTGACGATCGGGCTACACTTTTGTCGACACTGTTCCAACCTTTTGCAGATCAAAAATTCTGTGCTAAGTCATTTTCCAAAATCGGTTGCTAGCTCTCCGTCTATACCTCATCATTGATAGTCTCAATACCTTTGGCAAAATACTGATCGATTGGATGATCGAACAAGGAGTTAAAAAATTAATCATTGCTTCAAATATGTCAATACGAGATCACAAAAACTTGGTCTTTAAATGGCACAAAAATGGAGAAACGGTCATTGTTCGACATGAAGTGGACTTAAGCAAAGAAACAAACTTTGAAAAATTACTTAAAGTTTTAATAATAGGTCAACTCGATGGTATATTCGATCTACAGAGAACGGAGATAGATTCGTCGATTTCTTCGCTAAAGTATTTTAAAGTTACTGAAATACTCGATAAATATAGTAGACGTCTATGTCCTTCACTTGTAAAATTCTTTATTTTCTCTTCACTTAACTTGGACGAAGATAGTCTAAAAGGTTATACCTAGTTAGAATTTTCAAAAAATCGTTTTTTTTTTCATTTTCGGAATGCTCATATATTTAAGTATATTTTCTGAAAATTTGAAGCCAATCCGATAAATATTTTCGGAGATATACCTGAATTTGTAAGGCCACGTCAGAGTGTTAGAAAGCAGGTAGAGTAAGAACCGGAGTAGCAGTTGCATTCACGACTCCGCGAGCTAGTAAAAAAAATGCAGAAACAGTTGAAAAAGGCGGAAAAAAATTGTAAAAAAAGTAATCTCAGGGAAAGGTAAACTCACGGCTAAGCTAATAGATTAGTTGACAGTTTACTATGATTTGGCAATAAGGAGCAATTGTGATTCTATGGATAATATGTATACTGCAATTTGAGGAACATATTATCACTATTGTTTGACTGATTAAAAGCCTCAAGACGAAATGTGCCCAGGTGAAGAAGGTTCATGGTTTAGTTGGCAGCAAGCACTAGCAACAGATACATTATCTCCTTACACCCATGATTATCCAACTTTACCAGCTGATGCTGCTGAAGCTATATATCCAATTTATGAAGACCTTAGCAACGTAAAATTATTGGAAAGGTGTGTTGGGGGATTTACACAAAACAAGAATGAGAGTTACAATCAGTTAATATGAAAAATAACTCCAAAAATTGTTCCGTGTGGCTCTAAAGTTGTTGAAATAGCGGCTTACATTGCAGCTGGAATGTTAAATGAAGGTACAAAATCATTATTGTACTTTATGAGTGCATTAGGACTTTAATTAGGCACCGCAACTCATGCTTATGTCGAAAAAGAGGACGCAGAGCGTGTGATCTCCGACGCGAGAGCGCATAGGAGTACGCGAGAAGGAAGAATGACTCAATGACAACACCAGCTAGACTTATTAGAAACTACCGATACGGCAAAAGGTCCTAGAATAGATGATATCATGTGAGTTGAAGAAAAAAAATCATGTGTGCAGATCACACGTGTTAGAAGTGAAACCTTTAAAAAACTAAGTTTCGAGATAATCAGACGAATGCACAGTTTCAAGAGTATAAGATAATTGTAGAGTTTATTTATTATAATATTATTACCATATATAATAAAAGTCACCGGTATGGTCTCTGGGTGGAATAGCTGATAAAACGTACACTTTTCCAAATTCAAGCAATAAATATGGAATGCTGAATGCGATAGTTATAGATAGGCACCATAAAATTTTTTTTGTTAGTATGCTTTTCAATTTCCCGTTCTCATCTACATTCTTGCGCTATATAACAAACATTTTAGGATAGATTAAATAAAGACGTTACGAAAAACATATGGAAAATACTGCTGGACTGAACGAAGGTTCTGGTAAAATTCAATGAAAGATCTAATAAAGATATTCTCTAGAAATGTTTTTTCAACTCTGTAGCCTACCACACTTCAAGACCCTTATTATTTATAACATATCTCGTCCTTATTCTTTGGACCACAAACTTATCTTTCTAAATACTCTCGTCTAAATAAAGATCTGAACAACGAAAAATCTAAAAAATGCATTGAATCGTATCGCTCTCTTAGCTTATCGAACTGTGTACACTACGAGTCTCAGATTTCAGCTCCGTGGTAAGCTCCACCGATTCACGCTGGGCGTTCAACATCTTCAAAATGTTTTTATTTTATTAAAAAATTAGTATAAGTTTCTTAAATACGCAAATATCAAAATTTGTAATATAATTTTCATATATGCATGGGTCAGTACATCTCTTTGGATATTTTTYATAAAAACATATAAAAATCAAATTTAATAGACATATTTTGTCTTTATGCATCAAATATATTTTATAAAGAAGCAAAATATAAAAATGTGACAGTAATTTACTTGCTTTTGAATGNAATTATAAAATTATTACAGTAGTACGAATTAAAATAGAAATAATAATTTGTGAATCAATTTGCTACTGTAATGTAAATGTGATGTAATGTGAGTGAAAAATGACTAAGTTCTGTATTGTGTGTAAAAAACAGTATGTTCCTGGTGACTGCAGAAGTACTTTTCATTGGTAAGAAAAATAAAATAATTGTTAAATATAATAATTTACTTGTTATATAAAAGTGTGAAATTTTCATGTGCAAAGTTATAATTATTTGTGTAACGAGTTTTATTAATTTAATATGTGAGGTTATGTAAATGTTATCAAAACATCTTGTGTTATATATTTTGATAGCAAAAGATAATTGTATATTGTAGTTTTCCTAAAAACAATGAACAACGACAGAAGTGGATGACTGTTCTAAACATTTTCAAATATCCAGTAAATGCTAGAGTTTGCAGCGATCATTTTGATAGTAATTCTTATCACTTACATAAAGATAATAGCAATCATTTAAAAAAATTACTATCAACGGCTGTTCCAAAATTAGAAAGAGAAGCTCCTGGCGATCTTAAAAATAGACAAACATGCACTAATTTATTACAAATTTCAAAAGAGACAAAGACTGCAAATTTAAAAAACAAAAAGGTAGAATTCGTACTAAATGTTTGCAAGGCTGTAACATTAAAAAGGTATTTATTTCATTTTTATTATTATATATTTTGTAATATAATTTTCAATTTAATAAATATTCATTTTTTATTAATTCTTTTGAAATACGTATTATGCTTTTTAGAAAAAATGATTGTGATGCTGACGTTATAGATCTTAGTGAAAGTAAAAAGTTTTGTGCAGATGAGACAGGGTGTCATGCTGCTGCTAATAATAATATTATTACAAATATTAAATCTCAAAATAAAAACGAGCAATGCTGCGTTGCTGTGAGCGATAATAATTTAAAAGGGTAATTATTTAAAAGATTTAAGTAATTTAATTTTATTATTATTAAATTAAACTCAAACTTTTTTATTTATAGAAAATGCACAACTCTTGATTCACAAGTGCATGAAAGAGAAAAGTTATGTTTTGTAAATAATGCTATTAATATACCGCTTTTGGATAATCATTGTATATCAGATCACGATTATTGCTCAAATACAAAAGAAAATAAAAATAACAATTCAAAGAGGTAACTATCAAATATTTTAATTATTTTTTAAATAATATTTTTCTATATATAATTATTATTTGAAGGAAAATTTCTACGAGTGAAGTTGACGAGATACTTAATCCAAATAAAAAACTGCGTTGGAAGGATGGCCAAAACACTATCTATTTTACAAAACAAAATTTTACATCTGATGAAGCTTGGAACAATTTTATAAAGTTCACTATCAGAAAAAAGCAGCAAATACTAAATTTACAAACGAAAGTGAGAAGAAAAAATAAAATTATAAACAGCTTGAAAGATGTTATTAAAGTTCTTAAAGAAACAAAAGGAGCAAGCAGCAGCAGATTATCTACAGGTTTTTCATAGTACAATTTTTTAAAATTWTAATAAAATGTCCCCCACCCCACCCCACCCCTAATATAATATGTTACATTGTATAATAATAATTGTGTACGTCTTTTTTTACGATTATTTTTCGTTGTAAAATATTATTTGCTGTTGTAAGATAATTTATCACTATTTTAAAATAATTGTTAAGTTTTACTTAAAAATTTTTGTATATATTCATTAATTTTTAAATAAGTTTAACTGCAGATTTTCAATTTAGTGATTCCGAATAGTAATATTCGATGTTCATTAACAAATTAATCAGTTTTAGGGTAAGATAGATGTATCGTAGATTACATCTAACAGTACAGTTAATTATACTGCTGATTTCACAAGTTTTATAGTTAATAGTAAATTACACTTGAATAAATTAATCCACTGATGTATGGATGATCTATAAGCTTGTTTATTTGTTTACGCTTAAACTAATAATTTCAAACTTATTGATTTACGTGATCCTTACTATTTTTTGGCTAATTATTCTTGAATAGAAAAACATATAAATAAAAAAGTTATTGTGTGGCAAGATTCGAACTCGTGCCGTACTAAAATCAGCTACCTTAACCTCTACTAGCAGACTAATGGGCATGTACCGTTCAGCGCAAGTTAGAAAGAGACAACCTCGACCTCTCATGTTCTATCTCTTTTTATTTCGCCAACAGGTTTTATGCTGGCTTATCTGCTCTATGTGTAGTATCTCTATGCGCTTCATAGTCAGTTTTGTTCGTAACACAGACAGTTGAACACTATTTGATATGAGATTTTAGTTGTGTGTTAAATTAAGTTGTGTGTATATAATGTAGTTGTGTGTTACATTTTAGATGTGTGTTAAATTGATTTTAGTTGTGTGTTAATTTTGGTATCATGGCTTCTGATATATCTTGTGTTTTTAATTGCGATGATGTTTCCGGTAAAGTTCTACAATTCACAGAAGAAAGTTTACAAAAATGTCGTGATCAACTTTGTGTTCGTGTTGCATTAAAAATGAAATACAACGATGTCGTTTTGCCTGAGCAGGTTGACGACACTAAAGGATATCATTCAGTTTGCCGAAAAAATTTTGTGGCGATTCCGAAAAGATATATTGATAAATACAACGCTCTGCAAAACAAATCTACCAGATATGTTGATGTGACACCAGTTGCTTCCACATCATCTGCAAGTGTCTCGGGTAAGTGTAATATTTAATCATTTCCAAAATAGTTAATAATCGAACATAGTAAACAGTTCAGTATAGGAAGTAATAATTAACTGACGACAAATTCATATTTTTTCTAACGTTCTTTTTGATCATACTTGATTTTGTACAAAGAAATAATTTTTAAAATGAAAAAATAGTATATTATGCAACTAGTGCGGAAGGTTGTCGATTACCAGTTGTCGATTCCTCTCCACAAAACAATACTGAAAAAGTTAAAAAAATTTAAGTAAAGGGTATAGCCGGATAAGTATGGGAAATCTGCCCCCGTGGCTTTTTTGACTCGCACTTAGGGGATCGATTTGGTGTCGAATAAAAATAATTCACCCCAAATTTTAGCTCTTTTACTCAAACGGTTCTCGAGATTTTCAAAAAAAACCTGTTTTTTCGATTTTCTTTTTTTTTATAGTAAAATTCAAAACTAATCAATAATGATTTTTTTCTAGTTCTTAGGAGTCTAAGACATGAAAAAAANCGTATAAAATTTTCTATAAGACATCAATGAATAAGAATGAAAATTTTAAAGTCCTGAATTTATTACCACGTCGGGGTAGACCAAAAAAGTTCGAAAATATTGTATTGACACCATTGTATAAAAATATCAGACAAATTACAACAGCAAAGTTCAAGGACATAATGGACCTATTACGATATATACCACCGGAACATCATGATTACTTCAAATCCCTTTCACACGCACAAAATGTARATGAGTAGTAAATTGTTTTGTAATAAATTTATGTTTGTAATTTTGCACGTTATGTAGTTAATTGAATCGCATAAATTATGTTCCTGAAGTGTTTTAAGGATATGTAAAATAAATTCAGTATTGTTTTTTTTCAATTTGAAGCATCTTAAATTATGTTGAATGGACTTGGGCACCTTCAAATTTTATAATGAATCTGGTTGTTAATTTTGAAAGTGGTCTATTTCCATTCGTGGTTAGAAAACGCATATTAATTACTTAATAATTGCCACTATTTTAATAAGAAATATAAATTTGAAGCCTTTAGATACACTTAAGCAGTATAACTCGTTAGTATCTTGTACGTATATTTTTAAATTCATTGAAACGCAAACCCTTAAATATCTCGATTTTAAGATAAATGGACTTAGGCCACTCTCAAAATAAACGGCTCAATTATCGTACGAATGGGATCACTGCCAACGCAGCTTGGTCTCTCTACAGTCCTATGCCCATCGGCGGACCATGGAGAGTGACCCTTCTATTATTGGCCAATCAATTTAGAGAGGGGATTGCGTAATCGACCTTTTCCCTATAAAAGGCTTCGGAAAATCAGCATAGCTTTCATTCGATCACGATTCTCGATTCAGATCCATTTAAAGCAAGAACAAGAACAACTAATCGACTCACCAACAACGTAAGCATCCAGTAGCTTACCGTCGGGACAACATTTCTACAAGCAGCAACATAACAGCGAGCATCACCATAATAATAATATACAAAGAGACAACAACTAATAAAGGCAACAGCCATCGGTTCATATTGATTCACATTTCTTTCGCATCCCATTAAGACCTTTTTACGATAAATAAATAACATAGTACCGATCAAGGCACCTGTACGCAACAATATTGTTAAACATTTTATTGTTACAGAGGCGCAAAATCAAAAAATAATAGTGACAAAAATACGTTTGGACTAGGATATAATGTCGTGATAAATTTATTACATGAAAGTAATTATCTAAATCAAGGATATCACGTCTTTGTTGACAACTTTTTTAGTAGTATTAAATTAGCAAGATATTTATATTCAAACAATACTTATTTAACCAGAACTATCAGACGAAATAAAAAATGTATTCCCGATCACTTAAAAATAGTTAATGTAAATGAACCGAAATATTTAAAAGATAATAATGTGCTCCTTTGTGCGTATTGCGAAAAGAAAAGCGTAAAAAAACCAGTAATACTAATTTCAACTAAATACGAAAATAAAAATGTGACGATAACAAAGAAGAGACACGGTAGAGAAAGGAATTCAACAAAACCAGCTATCATTCACTCGTACAACACCTTCATGGGAGGTGTAGACGAATCTGATAAAATGTAAAACACATATCTTGATGAACGGAGGAGAACCGTAAAGTATTGGAAAAAGGTTGCGTTCATTATCATGATCCGCATGGTTTTGAATGCTTATATTATTTATAAAAAAAAATGTGAATAATAGAGCAATGACCCAACTAGATTTCATTTCGCGAATTATTTTTGATATTGGGCGTGAATGGATTAAAGAGAGAAGGGTACGAGTTTTTCATTGTGATTTTTTAGACGAAAGTAGGCTATGATTAGTAAAGTTGCCACAACACAATTTACGTAATTGCGTAGTGTGTAGCACTAAAGGTAAGCGAAAAAAGATCACATCTGATTTTTGTACAATGTGAAAAGGGAGTTCATCATACCTGTTTTCATAAACATCAATGTTTTACATGGGTGATTCTCAAATAGCTGTGATTTTTTATGTCTAGTACTTTATTTATCATTTAACATATTTTTTTTTATCAAAAAATTATAAAATTCATACATTTGATAGTATTCTACCGTCGACAATGACTATTGAAGCATAAGTAGTCATGGATCATAAATAACTTACAGAAATACACCGAAAATGTCAGTACCGTGGCATGTCCGATTCTCGTTTTTCAAACTAAATGTATACATTTCTATAAGGATTTGTTTTATAATTTAAAGTTTAGCTTTTATAACTTAAATCTAATGTATATTCCATCAAATTATATTGCAATTATACCAAAATATTGATTTGCAGAAAGGAATAATTGTCATTGATTTATGTCCTGGAATTTTATTCAATTTTTAAATTTAATATATTTGCCGCCTAAACGCCATTTTCCATTAAGTTTCGTTCGCTCTCTCTGGCTGCATTTTAAGGAAAGACTATTTGTGTATAATTTACAGCTGAATGTTTATTTTTTGCCCCGATATTTTGATAGAAATAATTTGTTTTGTTTTGAAAAAGGTAAGTCATAAAATTATATGTCAGTACCATGATATTGAAATTTACACATATTAATACAATATTTAGATTAACTATTCAGAATATATATTTAATTTTACGTGTACAATTGAAATTGTTTGGAAAATCATTTTAATTATGTACAAAAAATAAGGTTAGGTTAATTATAAATTAAAACGTCAGTACCGTGGATGTCAGTACCATGGTAAAAATAACAAATAATTTTCAAATTCATGTTTCCTTAATGTTTTAATTTATCAGTTGTTCTAGTTTTATGAAAAATGACTCAAATACTCCGAACAAGACTTAAAAATATACCTGGGCTCCAAAACTTGTGTAATAATAAACCGTTTACAATAAGTAAAAAACGTGTATTGATACAGAAGAAAAAAATTACTAAATTTCAGTAAGATGAAAAATTAAAAAAAAAAAAGAGAAGCAGAAAGGTTACGGCGGTAGAAAATTAAAGAAGATTATAAAAATTTTTGTCAAATTTATTGTCAAAATTATAACAATATTGTCAAATATTGTCAAATATATATACAAATATTGTCAAAAATATAACAAAATTATTGTCAAAAGGAACGAAAGAGATACGTACAGCGGAAATTTGATAATAAATTAAAATCAATTGACCCAGTTGACAGAACGTGAAAAACGATGTCGGCGGAAATTACAAAATATGTAAAATCATGGCAAAAAGTATAAAATATGGCAAAAATCATCACGGCTAAAAAAAAAAGAGAACTCCAAACCAATGCTCCGGAAGAAAACAACAACGACATTAATAAAAATATCTCTAAACAGGCTTCGGTGGGTAAGAAACGAATTAAAAAAAATTTACGAAAATGTTATCGTGATAATGGTACGACATGATCCTGCTGCAATTACTGCCCATTTAAAGCAAGTCCTTAAATTCAACCTCTCACAGTTTCCGTACATAAAAAAAATACATTTTATGAGTAATGGCCCGACAACTCAGTATCGAAACCGTAAAATGTTTTACATTGTTACTCAATATTTTCCGCTTTGCTATCCTCAAATTCACTTTATATCATACAATTTTAGTTTGGAGGCGGAAACGTTCAGCTGATGATCAAGTGAAATTTGGTAAGAATATATCTAATTTTGACCAGTTGATAAGAACTTTGCGTTACTCCACTAAAAAAATACATATTGACGTCGTCACTGCTCCGCAAATTGAAACTATTGATACCTTATTGCCGGAAAAATTTCGTCTCTTCACTGGTACAATGAAAATGCACCAATACACTTGGAGTAGGGAAAACCCTGGCCTAATACTTTTACTAATACTACTCAACTCATTAAGTTGTCTCGATTGTCAACCTGGCATAATATATGAACATTTCTCGATGGGACAAATAAATTACAGTGATAATCGCTTGCCATTATTTTCTGCAAAGGCACAGAAAATGTTCAAAGACACCGTAGTCAGTGGTGAAATAAAAAAACCAAAAGTTATTCCAAACTCTTCGACGAAGTTTAAGAAATAAGGAATGATCCACTAAGGATTTTGATAAAAAATTCTATTATAGATTAATATTTAATTATTTAAAAATTGTATCATTGTTTTTTACATTTATAATTGTTGAAAATCTCATTTATTAACTCATTTTAAACTTAGTTATATTCAAATATAAGTATAAAAATTTTTATTCTAATTCTATCATTAATAAATTTTAAAGATTGTTAAAATCAAGAAAGAAAATACCAAAAAAGTCTTTGTATCATTATCAGAGTATTATAATTTATCATTCGTTTTATTATTTTAAGATTTTAAAAAGATTTAGGTAAGTACTTTGATTATTTCATTTACTTGTCAGTACCGTGGAAATTATGTCAGTAGCGTGGCATTGAAATTTTCAATTTTTGTCCTAGTTTTTTGTCTATTGAGGTTGTAGTAAAACTACATTACCGACTTAATTCTGAGCATAATTGGGGAACAATAGTACCCAAAACATAAGTTATAAAGCATTCTTAATTTTTAAAAAATTTTGAGTTGTAAAAATCACAGTTACCTTATAAAATGGTTTATTGTTTGGCATTTTGTTATTTCAAGAGTCGTGTACAGCTATCCCTTCAACAACACGGCTTCTCCTAACACAGTTTCGCTATAACAAAATTCATAATTGCGGGAACCCTCCTACAACACGGTATCCTATAAAACGGTTTTCTTTCCAAAAATCTTTATACAACACTGTACTTCTACAGCCGCGGCGAGGCTTACCGTCTTAAAGATACAGTGTAGCGGAAAGTACTTCTTTTCATCTTAATGACCTGAAAACAACAGTATCTCATGCTGTTGTGAACTGAAAACATCAACGTTAAGGGACCATCTCAGTGTGAAATTTAAAAAAAATCGATTTTTCTTTTTTTGGTCTCATCTTGAAGTACATAATAGTTGTGCGTGTTCTGTAAAATTTTCAAATTTAAATTCGAATTATTACGGTCGCTACAATCTTTCTTGGAAAAAGAGATTAGAGCGAAAGAGTAACTCCTCTAAACTTTAAACGCGTTTTTATCAAAATGCCCTTTTTACAAACGGTGTCACCTCTCAGAGGGAGAGTTTTCAAGCTATCGACTTGGAATTTTTACGGAATTTTTTTCACTTTATTCTTTACGTCCCCTATGAAGCTTTTTTTTTTAATTCTTCCTATTTTTTCACACGAAAAACTGTTGAAAAACAGGGCTAAATTTCTTACTTTTTCTTAAAGCCGTCGCCATTTTGTCAAATTTAAAAAAAAAAAATCTCTATAGGGACATAGCGGCTTCCCTACAGATTAATAATCAATTTGATTTTTTTTTTCAGATGCAAACTGCGATCACAATCGTTGACATCGATTGCCCGTATTTTTTTTTACTCACTTTTTAAAATAATTACTTACAATAAGTAAAAATAGATAAAAACGAATGAAAAAAAATTTTTTGTATTGTTAAAGAGTGGTCTTATTCGAAAAAAAAAACATTCCGATCCCCTCTTCCTATCCATCCGAAAAAAAATCACGAAAATTGACAATTTTTTGGCCGGTTACACTGAGATGGTCCCTTAAATGCGTGTTGGAAGAAGATATAACTCTCTTCAATTAAAATAGAAAACGTGCATGAATCGTCACGAAATGAAATTGGTTGCATATCAGAACTTGCTAAATCAATCGGAGGCGAAGGTTTTGTGGAAATGGCTAGTGTGGACGTGCAAGGTTTATTAGTGGAAGAAGAAGAAGTTGACGAAGTGGATTTGATGGAAATGGTATCCGAAACCTTATATCAAATTGATCCTGAGGACACTAGCACTGATGAAGATTGTGCTGTTAATAAGTTAACATTAAAAATATTACAAGAAGGCCTAAGCTTAGCTGAAAATCTCGAGTTATTTTTCTTGAATGCAGATCCTTCCAAAGAAAGGAGCCGAAAATTCAAAAGGAAGCATCAAAACTGTCTAGCTCCCTATCAAAAAATTTACAATGACCTGGTGTTAAGAAACAACAAGCAAAGTAAAATTACAGATTTTTTAAAGAGAGAAGAAGATGCAAGAACTTAAAAAAAAAGGAAAACGTTCTGAAAGTCAAGGCGATATCATTCCACCGAAAAAACGTTCTCGGTTGATTAAATTGAGCAGTGACGACGAAGAAATAAATTAAATTAAAGTTACGTTAAATAAGGATAATATTTTTTAGTTTGTATTATTCATACATTTATATTTTTAATAAAAATTAAGTTGTTTATTTAAAATATATATATATATATATATATTTGTTTTTAAAAAGTTTTCGGAACGTAACCCCCTTTTTGCATTGGCTCTGGGTCTCAAACAACACGGTTTCCAATAACACGGCATTTTCTAGGAACCTATCTACCGTGTTGTTGGAGGAAGACCTGTACCTTTTTTTCAATGGAAAATAAGTGGCTGAAAAGAGAGTACAAAAAAATTATGGATAACTGCAAAGCAAAGCAAGACGACACGTAGATTCATTATGGTCTTAGATCTGGAAAAGATAAGTTGAACCATAAAACATTTTATTTAAAAACATATTTAAAATCTTGGATAAATCTCCATAAATATATGAAGTTATATCAGTTATAGAATTTTAAATAATTCTATTTCATATTTAGTGTTCATTTGTGTACCTTCAGAAATGCATTGAAACATAATTTAAAAAGTAATCATTTAGGACATTCAAATAGAAGAAAATCTTAAATGTTTCTCGTTAAATCCAAGGATGATCACTTGCAACAAGAAGAAAACTATATTAATCATACAATCAAGTGATATAAAGTAGCCTAACATATGAATCGTCCAATTCGTAGATGTCCTTTTCAATTGAATTCTCTATTTATTTTAATCAAATCTCTATCTACTGTTGCAATAATTTTAAATTTAAACGCGTGATTTTACATTCACATAAAATATATATAGTGCAGGAAAGGTTCTTGAGGTGGACATTGGGAGTAGACTGGAGGACACCAGGGTACATGGTAAGAGAAGAAAGAAAAAGAGATAAATTGGGAACAAAAGCAGCGAAGAGAGCGTAGTAGTATGAGGAGAAATTAAGGAGAGGAGAGGGAAGTGAGTTGGCGAGAGAGTGCTGGAAGGAGGCGCGGGAGAGAGAAAAGGGGGGAGAAGTGGAGATTCCAAAATGGGAAGAAGGGAGGAAAAGGTTTAGAGAGAGGATAGTGCAGGACAGGGAGGAGGTTGTTAAGAGTTGGGAAGAGATTGAGAAGGAGGAAAGAAGGCGGCAGGAGAAAGAAAGGTGGGAGAAAATACAAAGCTCCAGATATAATAAATAGTACAAGCTAGTGGTAGCGGAAGGGTTACCAAAATACTTGGAAGGCAAGTGGAGTGAAGAGAGAAAGAGAAGAGTGGCGATATTCAGATTAGGGAATGAGATGAGGGAGGGGTGATACTGGGAGGAGGAGGAGAGGAGAAGATGCAGGGTGTGTGGATGGGAGAGAGAGACATGGGAGCATGTGTTGGAAGGCTGCAGTAGAACGATAGGTGAGGAGGACGGGAGAGGAGTGGAAGAGAGAATAAAGGAGATTTTAGATGAGAGTGGAATAGGGGAAGAATGGATGATGAGGGTTGAGAGTATAAGAGAGGAGAAGGAGGGACAAGGTTGGGATTGAGGGAGGAAGAAGCGGAGGTTTGGGACGGGTGGAGGAGGAAGGGAGGAAGGGAGAAGTGAGGAAGAGAGTAGTGTTAGGGTAGGTTAAGGATATAATTATAAAAGGAGTGTAACCCTTCGAGGAAACAGTAAAATGTATCTATATATATAAAGAGGAAAAAAAACATTAAGTTACAGAAAAAAGAAAAAAAATCTATTAAATCTAATGAAGTACTTTTACATTGCATTATTTAGAAAAGAAAAAAGACAAATTTAATAGAAAACACGACGAGTTTACAGTAAATGATCTTAA